CAGAAGATACCGTTAATGAGAACGTACAGGCTAATTTCTTCAAAACTACACGTTATTATTAATTCTACCATTCGTAAATTTGTCTGTAACATTGTCAAGTTGTAATTTATTTGTATTACAATCACCGTTTTTTAGTACAGATTTCATCAATATTTTTTTCTTTTTATATAGCGTCATATATAATTTCGTTAAAATCTGTATCAACGGCAGAAGTTACGCACAGATATCAAAGAATAGATCTGAAGAATGAGTACTACAGATTTGAAGAGCAGATAAAAATTACATCGTAAAATTTCAAAAAGAAATATTCATCAAAGTTAAAAGAGGTAAAGATTCATATTATTGTAATCGTGATAGGATGACATTTATTGGTATCACTACAAAACAAAGGGAAATTATATATACCTATAGGTGAGATAGGCATCATACATGCTACTTAAAGTTTCTTTTTGAATAAAAAAAAAAATCTCATATCTAGGTGTCATCAAGACAAGATAAATCTGAAAAATATTAGAGTATTATGTGCATGTAATTAGAGTACTGGACAGGTATATTAGTACGTTACGTCCGCATAAATGTTTTTAGTGGCAATACGCAATTCTGATGAGACAGAAAAATAAATTTAAGATGAAAGTAGTTTTCAACGAGGAAAAAAAAAACCCCCCTTTAACATGAAAGTAGCTATCAATTATATTTCTTTCAGATAAGAATTAAAACAGCCCAAGATCAACTCTAGACCTCAACCAAAAATAAAATATTGGTCAGTTTTCATATTCCGTATGGACTCAATCATACCACGTATTTGTGTTGTAAGCATTTTTCCTTGCAAGGTAGAAAAACACCATGACTCGCACGCATATATGGACAGCAAGGACTTCACCTTTGATTACTGAATCCAAACCTCTTAATCTCATGCCCCACCTATCAAACAAGCTCTTTCTGTCGTTAGTCTGTCTAACGAGTGCCTACTTGTTTAGATTACAATTTTTCACCGAAAAATTTTTAAACGCACTTTTTAATAGCCTTTTTCATCTCACATACATTAAATTATCATAATACATTTTTCTACGAAAAACTTTTAAAAACTGGCAATCTGAATAGGTTAATTTTTTTTTAAAAAAAGAGCTTAATTAAAGAAAATATATAAATATAAAAAATGATAATAATTATTATTATTTAAATATATTAATGAGTGCCTATTGAATGTCTATTCCAATAAAAAGCACAACAAGCAAAACTTAAAAAAATGGTAATAAACGAGTTCTAGAAAGATAGAAAGGCCACAAAGTCCAAAAAAGAGCATATAAAGTAGTAGTAGATGAAGCAAAATCCAACGAAGAAAGCAAAGGCCCCCACCCCCCCAAGACAGAAAAGGCCGGAACCTATTAAAATGTCCAACCGCGTACCGTCAACTCTTAAAGTCGCGCATTACACCTACCATTTTACTATTAGTAGTATTTGTTTCAAGTTTCGTCTACCAAACAAGCAATCGTCTGTTACAAAAAATAACAGCATCCATTTAATACTACCTAAAACCCCTCGAAGACTTCCTCCTCATCTCCCAAAACCGTGTTCACACCATACACCACACACACACACACTTATCATCAATTTGGTAACAATCATCCATCATACTCCCTGTTTGTTGTGGGTCTCCTTAGATTACCTTCGATCGCTCTTTCGCGTTACTCCCGTGTTTGTTCTAATTCTAATTGAGTGTGTGTGTTTCTTTCAGTTGCTAGAAAAAAAAAATCAATCATACTACTTCTACTATTTATAGTTTTGTGCTAATACTGATATATTATTGTGATGATCTTTTACCTCAATCAAATTGATTCTTTAATGTTTTACATCTGGATATTGATGCATATATAATTCACCTGAACTTTCAGTTTCAAAGTTTGAAACCCTTTTACTTTTTCCCTTCCGTGTTCACATTTCCTTTCACACATTGTCCGGAACAGGTGGTGTACAAGTTGGGTTCTTTTATATTTTCCTGTATATGAAGCAGCGGTTTTCCACCAGGAAAGATTGCGACTGCGATTATTCTCTCTCTAGTCTTATATATAGAGGGTTTTCTTGAGGGTAAAGAATTGGTAATCAGTCTTATTTCTCACAAATGAATGATAGTAAGAGAAGACGGAGGAGGAGGGATAGTGGAAATATACCCAATTTTGAAGATGGTCGTGCTGAGAGTAACGAGACCAATCAATTTGATGTGCAGAAACAAGGTGGGGTTAAGACTAAAGAGTTGAAGGAGATCATAACTTCCTTGATATTACTTGAGGAGCAAGAAAAGAGGGATCAAGAGGAATTGGCAAAGGAAGAACAAGAGGAGAAGCTCTTCTTTGAAAACAACCACGAGAAGAAGGGGCGAGCCATGTTGGACTATTACTCCCAATTGCAGGAGTACCAGAAAGAAACAGATCTTAAAGATGGGGTCAGGAAAAGAAAGAGCAGGGCTAATAGTATTGTTGCTGCCACCACTGTTGCTGCCGCTGCCGCAGTTGATGCCGCGGAAAACGATGCAGTTTCGGGGAGTAGCAAGGACGGCGGAGGCGATCAGGGCAGCGAAAAGGGAGTTAAAGGGGCCCCACAGAGGCGGTTGTGGGTGAAGAATCGATCAAAGGCTTGGTGGGATCAATGCAACAGTGCTGAATTTCCTGAGGAGGAGTTCAAGAAGGCATTTAGGATGGGGAAAGATACATTTGAGATGATATGTAATGAATTGACCTCTGCGGTGGCTAAGGAGAATACTATGTTAAGGGATGCTGTCCCCGTTAGGCAACGGGTAGCGGTCTGCATATGGCGATTGGCCACCGGTGAGCCACTTAGGCTTGTATCCAAGAAGTTCGGATTGGGGATTTCAACATGTCATAAATTGGTTCTTGAGGTTTGTTCTGCGATAAGGACAGTTTTGATGCCCAAGTATCTTCAATGGCCTGATGAGGAATCAACCAGGAGGATTAAGGATGAGTATGAAGCCACATCGGGCATTCCTAATGTTGTGGGATCAATGTATACTACTCATATACCAATCATTGCTCCCAAGATTAGTGTGGCTGCTTATTTCAATAAGAGGCATACTGAGAGGAATCAGAAGACCTCATATTCAATTACAGTGCAAGGTGTTGTTGATCCAAAAGGGGTGTTTTCTGATGTATGCATTGGATGGCCTGGTTCAATGCCTGATGATCAGGTTTTGGAGAAATCTGCTCTCTTTCAGAGGGCTAATCAGGGGCTGCTGAAGGGTGTGTGGATTGTTGGGGGTTCTGGATACCCTTTGATGGATTGGGTATTGGTACCCTACACACAACAGCACTTGACCTGGACTCAGCATGCTTTCAATGAGAAAACTGGGGAGATTCAGAGGATTGCAAAAGATGCCTTTGCCAGATTGAAAGGGAGATGGTCTTGTTTGCAGAAAAGAACTGAAGTGAAACTTCAGGACTTGCCGGTGGTACTAGGGGCATGCTGCGTCTTGCATAACATCTGTGAATTGAGGAATGAGGAAATGGATCCAGAACTTAAGTTTGATCTCATTGATGATGAGATGGTTCCAGAGATTCCATTGAGGTCAGCGAATGCAATGAAAGCAAGGGATGCCATTGCTCACAATCTCCTGCACCATAACCATGCTGGAACTTCTTTCCTATCCTAGGACAAGTTGCATTGATTTTTCCTTTCTGAAGTTGGGAGTAATTCTTTCTAATGCTTTTCTCATTTGACATTTGTTGTTGTACAATGATAAGTAGTTCTTTATCAAAGATTAGATCGAAGGCTAAGTTAGGTAAATTTTCTATCGCAAATTGGTGAATTAATTGTTGTCTTCTAGGCCGAAGCTGTATACAAAAATTATAGATACAGGTTATGACTCAGTTATATACTTAACAATGCAGTTGACAATGAATTGATGAACTAAACTTTTTTTACTAGACTATTGTTGTTTTATGGCATTGCTTTTTTTTTTGCCTACCAAGTGGGTGGTTAGACTTTGCTGCATCAAGTGATCTTAACAGCATTCAACTTGCTGTTTTTGATTGTCAAATGAATTTTGTAGTTGTCATTTTGGGTTTATTGAAAATAACTTTCCACCTTTTGTTGCTGTGTTTTATTTGATTTACAATGTCAACTTGATAATCTCTTATTGCTTCTTTTCTGAATGCAATCAAAGGTCTCATTTGCGATCTTGCTCAAAAGATAAAGACAATTAGTAGGAGGAGACCGGATTTTAGTTTCTTGTCAGTCAAAAAAGTTGAGCTGTAGGCTGTAGCTTTTATAGGGTCAGCCAATTTTTTGTTGATCTATCAAAGTCATTATGGACAGCTAGATTATTTGCATGCTATATTTTCTGTACAAAGGATCGGAAGGAAATTATCTTCTTTGGGATGATATTTTAGGAAAATTCCTGCATCCTTCTCCGAGGATTTGGTGGAATAAAATTCTATCCCGTAATCAACTTTGGACTCAGGCTTTCCTTGAGGAAGCTATTACAGCCAAACAGCAGCTAGCTCCCAATGGTCCTAGTGTCAGAAGTAATTCAAAATAAATAAATAAATAAATTGAGAAGAAGAAGGATGATTATTCTTTCTTTCTTTAATTATTTTTTCAGGGTAGGAAGAAGGATGAATATGCTTGAGCGACAAATGTCTCAAAAATTTTGGATGTAAATGTGATATTGAACGAGGTGGAAACATTTCAATCATCTAGAGAGGGTGATGAGAAAACAGCCAATGAACAGGAAACATCAGCAAAAGGCTGTCACAGGGAAAATCAGCAATGAAACAAAGGGGGAGGCAGATGTCACTTCCATTCTTCCGTTAAATGGAATGTCTTGGGTAGGGTCCTCATGAATGTTAGTCTTTCTGATTTTGGAATTCAAAAGGGGTAGACGTTTTCATGGAGAAATTTGTGCAGAAACTTGATGCACAAAGCGTGCTGATCCATGCAGATCATCTGGAGTCTTGGAGTTGGACTAGGACCAAAACCAAAAGAATCTCAGCAAAGTTTGTGAAGAATTTTCATTGCGTTAATTCTGCCGTGCAGATTAAAATAACACACTACCACTGAATTTTAGTATATATCAGATCAAGTCAGTACTGACTCCCAACCACACATACATTAATCACGAGTCAACATTATTGATAATCATGCCACTCTTCAGGAAGTCATCTTTCCTCTGTCAAAAGTCAATAGGATTTTAAATGCTGCAAAAAAACCCAGAGGTGGTTGAGCCAACCCACCTTGATCGCTGCAGTCCAGGTTGACAAATATTTTTTCTTGTTTCATTAATATTCCTCGACTTGTAACCCAGTAGCAATCAGCAAATTACCTCGTTTACTCTAGACTACCATGTTACAACCCGAGGTCCCGAACCAAAATGCCGTAAAAACGGTTATTGACCGGTGATACAACAGAAAGTGTCAAGGCAGCAAAACTGCATGATCCATGCACGCCAAAAAAAATATTTTTTTGAAAAAAAGACTCCACAGCTGCATCATTTGCCTCCTGTCATCTTACACCACGGTCTAGATGATGCTCACAGGAAATTCATATTCATTAGCAGTTCAGCAGTCGATTTTTTTCAACAAGAAGTAATTATGAGCGAGCTGAAACCAACCTGGACCAACAAAGAAGGGCTGTCTTTAAGGTGGAAAATCACTGCTGATCAAGGTCCCGGCTCCAATTCTGCCACACACAAAAACACGTAGGAATGCACAAAAATTGTAATAGACAATTCTGCTGATCAAGGTCCCGGCTCGGCATATAGACATGCACAAAAATTTCTTCGTTGTAATGTGTAGTTTATCCAAGTTGTACTACATCAGTCTGGCTCTCTCAAACTTTACTTTTCCACATGATGACCCCTTGCAGTTGGAGTAGCTGGTTCAGTCTTGAGGAAGAGGTTAAAAGCAGGAATTACAGCTAAAGGGCTGATTGAGCTCGAACTGAAACCAAAGTTTGTCATGCTATAGTAACATAGCTACCTCCAGAATTCAGAACCTAAACTGCTGAATTTGCGAGCTGCATAACTTGGGCTACCCTGACTTTTCAGCGCCTCAGAACTTCTGCAATATCACCGTAAACCTCCAGACTGTTGATCATCTTGATCAGATGGTAAACGGAAAGGAAAAGTGGCAAAATGGATGCTTAAGAAAGGGAGTCAGGCTTCTTGTCATCAAATTTATAACCTGCAGCATAAGGTCAAGCGTAAGGTTATGGACTTACAATTTGATGATACCATTATAGATCTTCTAATTCTTAAGTCAATAGGCTCACCAGTTAAATTCATATAGAAATCACATTTTAGCAAAATGGGCTCTGGAAAATTCAACAAAAAAAGGCGTGATTGTCAGCCATGACTACATGGGATTATCTGTTTTCTAGGTGTCTCCATCCCTATACAAGATAAAAAGGAATGTCATTTTGCATACTTTTGGTTTACATCAAAGAATGGCAAACATTTTGAAGCCCCACTACTGATAAAAGTAAGTCATTTTATAAAAGTAAGCATTTCTAGAGGACATTATTTTTGCTGTCAAGTTTCCTTCAAAAACTATATGCATCTGCATAGCAGGTAAAGAGTGATAGGATAATCCCTAACAAAATGCAATATACTGAACCTTAAAGGGCTTCATGGCCGTAAGAGCACAGTTTGCATCAGCAAACTCAATGAAGCACAACACTCAGGCTTTATCTCCACTCTGCAGCATATTTATGGTCAATGTATCAGTGAAAAAAAAAATGCAAGAGAAAATTGGTAATTTCTGAGATGTTATGGGTCTGTTGACAGCTACAAATTTCAAAGGATGTACATGTTCATGTAAGCATTGAGAGAGAAAGAGAGGAGGGGGGGCAACATTAGTCTTGTTTAAAAAGTCCCAAGTATACCAGATCAGAAGCCAACAACTATGGAAGGCAAACAAATACTAAATAAGCAAATATGTGGTTAACCACAAGGAACCAAAGTGGAAAGACAACATAATCTCAGCAAGATTGAATATCATGGAGCAAATCACAGGTAGTAGTCCCAAAACCACACAAATCACATTCCCACACTTCACAAACCTCATTCTTTCCCAAAAGAGAATCTCAGGAAAACATATGATCTTGTCAAATATGAACAATTTAACCCAATCAAAAACAAAAGTACTGTTGTAGGATAGAGTAATAGATAATAATAAACAGATAATCTGATACTGCTCTTGATATTGCAAATGAGGGATTTAAGTCGTTATAGAACATTTCCAGGGATAAAGCATACTTGCATGTCTGGGCTCCTTGTGAACAACTCTAAGCTCTCTGAAGCCAATAAAAGGACGGAAAAGATCTATCAATGGTTAAGGGACCAAAATAAAGCAAGAATCCACAACCTCAGCCATGAAACTTTGCCCCGAACCCCCAATCCAAACAGCCCAAGGAAACAAGAATAGACCCCCAAAAGAACCCTGGGCTTCCTTCCCCTAGTCTAAACACTGCAAGGAAACAAGAAAAGAACCCCAAGAGAACCCTAGGCTTTCTTTTCCAGAACTATGGAGAAGATAGTACAAATCTAAAGATGTATGCTTTCAATTGCACGAATGCTACAGCATAGATCATATTGTTATGGGAATAAGTTCATCTAAGTTGAAAACAAGAGAAAATCTTCAATAACACAATGTCTCAAAAGAGTACCAGGGACCGTCAAGTTATCCATTTAAGAAAGCAAATAACACACATCAAACGTTCCTACTAAACTAAAATGAACTAATATTATATGAAGGAAAAAAGATTAATGAAAACACTATCAAGGATACGGCCTACTTCTCTTCTTGAACAGTCAGTTGGAAGCCCATCAACAAAAAGAATGTTTGATTCTCCTCCGTAACTGGAAGGCCATTAATCCTTCTCAAAGAACTCGGCCTATCAAAGATGTTATCATGGATTCTGGGACTCGGATGAGAAGCAACATCTGGTCTTTGGCCTAGTGAACTAGGATCTCTCAATGGAGATGGATAACCTCTAATGCTGGTCCCACTTGTTAGTCCACCAAGACCAGTTTCAGGATGAATATGCCTGACATCTATGCCATATGCACCTGGATGTGACTGTAGGATCTAATTACCGAAAACAGATGCCCTTTACTCACTATACAAAGATTACACAGGGCAAAGCCTATAAACTTCAATAACTTACATCTTTCCCCAAGTAGTCTGAACTACCCTTCCCATCATTAGAGCTCCACAGATGAGGAGTCATCAGCATAGATGCCTCAGATGACAAGTACCCAACAAAGATTTGTTTTGGGCTGCTTCCTGCAGAGAAGCCATAAATTCAACATATTTTTTAGCAGAAAGAAAATAAGGTACGATAAACTATTGAATTAGAGTAAAGTCAATAAAGAGTAAAGGCAGTTGGAATGCAAAGCTAGCCTAAGAGTGTCGCAGGTAACTTTTTTTTTTTAAAGATTTCATTACCCAAACTAGGGGAAAATGGCCATTCTGGTCCCCACCTTTAGTCCCTTATCTTTATGAAATAAAGGCAACATAGGACCTATAATAGTAAATTAAAAACCCCAATGAAATTGGTCAAGTGCATGGCATGTGCACCATTAAAAAATGAGTATTTTGATCCCTTATCTTCAGGATTGTGTCCAATTTAGTTCCTTGTATCTCACTGCCTACCAATTTAAACCCTCATTTTCACAAACTAAAGCCCGTGTAGGATGTTTAATGGGAAATTAGAGAACCTTAATAGAGCTGATCCCATGCACGACATGAATACCATTAAAACAAAAAGGAGCAGGATAAAAAGTCCTAAAAGCCCTAGTCATAATTGTGTTGGTTTTCCTCTCCTAATTTTTCCAAATCACTAACTAGAGCCTTATTTTGTTGACATAATTGCCATTGGGGCTTGTGATTTTTTCCCCTATTCTGCTCCTTTTTGTTTCAAAAGTCCACTTACCGTGCACGGGATTGATTCCATTAGGTTTCTCTAACTTCTTAGTTGAAGTCCTATATTCATTTTACTTTGTAAAAATGCGGACTTAAATTATGCAGTGACATATAATGGACAAAATCAAACACAAACCTGAAGCTAAGAGACCAAAATAGTCATTTTTAATGGTGCACATGTCATGCATGGGTCAATTCCATTAGAATTTTCTAATTTTCTGTTAGAAGTCATACATTGATTTTTTTTAATTTTGTAAAGCTAAGGAACTAAATTGATGATACATGAGAGACCAAAATACTTGTCCCCCAACACCCCCCTCCCCCAAAAAAAAAAAAAGAACATATGCCTTTCGCTGCTTCACATGAAATTATCTACTTAATCTTACCATGTCCTACATTTTTCCAATGATTACTACATTCAGTATCATCACACTAATGCTTCCAGTTCTGAAACTCACTGGGATTAGTAGGGCCTTTTCTTGTAGGCATCAACTTTTTACTATAGCTAATTATGGAAACGTATTGTTTGAGAAAGTTGACAACATATTTTTGCTTCTGTTCTTTAATGTCTTGAAAAGCCAAAAGCTGTTATCGAGCTTTTTCTCAGAATCAGCTGTATTCCAAGCTTAGATAATCTTAAATTAGAAGCCAAAGGCAAACCAAAACACATAAAAACAGCTTTGAGCCCTCTTAAGCCTTTCCTATTCCCTGCTGCTATCTTTCAACAGCTATGCAAATTCTACTTCTTCATTCACCTCAATTTACAATTACTAGCCATTCAGTCACAAAAGAATTGCCACAAAAAAAAAAATTTGCATCACTAAGTTATGATCTCAGGCTCAAGATAAAGTTACTTCATTTTTTTATATCCCAACTTATGCATTACTTTCGTAGAATGTGAAACATATACATAGATATCTATGGCCATTAATAACTTTGATAGCTTGAATTTAGCAAATTGACCAACAGATAAAGAGGAAAAAAAAGCCGATAATTAGGGTTTTAAGGAAAACAGACCTCCCTCAGGCTGAGGAGGAACACTACATCTCCAGTATGGATCACCCACGGGAAAATACATTTTTTTCTCCTTTTTTCCAATTATTATTCTGCGAATTTAACGTCATCAGCTGCAGAAGAAAAAATGGCAAGGCGAGGGAAGGAGAGTTGGGAATTTACTTCCGGAGCTAGGGGTGAGCATCGAATTCGAATTCGGTAATTCGGTAGGTTGAAATCGGTAATTTTCGGTAAATGGTGTTGGGATATTTCGACCTAATTCGTATTCGAATTACCAAATTCCGAATTCGAATTCAATTCGGATTGAATTCGGTAAACACGAATTGACCGAATTGACCGAATTCCTGAAGCAATTGCAGCCTGTTTTGCTTTGTATAATAAAATAATTTCTAGCAATAAAATAAGTGTTGTTCACAATTATCATTCATAAAGCTGCACCAAAATAATCAAAAAATAGAAGTAGTAATCACGTCCATAGGCACAATAGCCAGATGATTGCACTACCAAATCACAACATATAAAACCTCTTCCCAGTAGCTAACGCCTACCAGTTCAAAACAGCATTACTTAAGAAATCACAAATCCAAACAGAATCTAGAAAACTTCAAAATTACTAACTATCCCAAACTTCATACATATCCAGAAATGACAAATCCACAAATCCAGAAATCATAAATCCACAATCAGAAATTACAGAAATCAATCCAGAAATCATAAAGGTCAATTATCTAGAAACAATCCACAATCCACAAGAACAAACAATTATAGGTGGTTCAACTCTCAAACTTCAGCATTTGTGACCTCTCAAAGGTCAATTACAGTTGATTCAGTTCCGGTCTTCAGCAACTCTGCAAGAACAAACAAAATTCATGAAGTATCATAAAGGCAATTATTAGAAATAAAGAAATACTTCAAATTTTGCAATAAAAATTTTGATAGCATACCAGATTCGAAGGCTTCAAGTTCTTCCAGATTTTCTTCTACATTTAATTCTGTCTTGGAGGACCGAAACCAATCTTGAGCACATATTAAACTTTGCACAATTCTAGGAGTCAAAGAACTCCTAAATGTATCAAGAACACGACCTCCGGTACTAAAAGCAGATTCGGAGGCCACAGTAGAAATTGGGACTGCTAACACATCACGAGCAAGTTTTGAAAGGATTGGGAATCTAAGGCTATTGGCCTTCCACCATAACAAGATATCAAATCTCTCATCATCTTCCTCACAATCCTCATTCAAATATTTCTCTAATTCAGATTTTGCATCCCTACCCCCAAGTTCCATTTTTCTCTTCTTAAACTCCAACTTGTACCGATCAGTGATTGTTTTAGAGGCATTCCCATGTCCATAAAATGTAGTTTTACTCCTTTGAAATTCACTTGAAAGTGAAGAAACATGAGACACAGAATTTGAGGCAGGTGTGTTGAGCATCTTGTATTCATTAAACAGCTCAAACATTGCATCTTTTGCAAGGCCAGCTATTGTTGTACCATCGGACTCACCATACATTTGGCAAACCACAAATTCAAGGTATTCAAGTTTAGTTCGAGGATCAAGCATGGAGGAAATAAAAATCAGCATATTCATCTTTTCAATCTTTCCCCAATACTTATCATATTTCTCCTTCATTGATCTTGCCATTGAACTTAATTCTTCATTATCACTTGCTGCCATTTCAATTAAAATGCCATGTATGTGACTAATATCAGTGAAAAAATTATTTGAAGTCACATATTTGGAACCAGAAACCTTCACAGTTAGCTGATAAAAGTTCTCCAAAAAAATTACCAAGAATCTAGCTTTTGTCCAATCAGATTTTGTTGGCAGATTTTCTAACTCTTGAAGCATGTAAGGATCCTGCTCCTCGAACCTCTCAAAAGCCCGCTCAAACCTTTGAGCCGTGTCTAGCATTAGATATGTAGAATTCCACCTAGTAGAGACATCTAAACAGAGCAATCTTTTGCATTCAATTTTTTCAATTTCCACACATTCCTTGAATTTTTTCAATCTAGAAGGTGACTGTCTAACATATCTAACTGCTGCCCTGATACAATCAACTGATTCCCCCAGTTTTTTGATGCCATCATTAACAATTAGATTCACTATGTGAGCTACACATCTCACATGAGTCCATTTCCCCCCTAACACAGCTTTCCCCCAATTTTGAAGTTTTCCTCGTAAATAGCTGACAGCTACATCATTGGAACTTGCATTGTCAACTGTAACAGTTAGGATATCATCAACTCCCCATTCTAGTAGACACTTTTCTATGGCCTTACCAACTTCAGTTCCCTTGTGACTAGCAATAGGACAGAAATTTAGGATCTTTTTGTTCAGTTTCCAATCATTATCTATGAAATGGGCAGTGAGGCACATATAGTTTATCCTTTGAATGGATGTCCAAGAATCTGTGGTTAGACAAATTTTGCCACTGTTATTCTTCAAGAGATGTTTCAACTTAATTTTTTCATCTAAATACAGCTGATAGCAATCTCTAGAAATAGTCCACCTCGAAGGAATTCTAAATGATGGACAAGCAGTCCGCATCATGTATTGAAAACCTCTACCCTCTACATGTTTAAATGGCAATTCATCAACAATTACCATATAAGCTATGCTTTTTCTAATGGCTTCCGCATCAAATTTCCAACTTATGAGTGCCCCTTTAACCTCTCCCTCTAATGTTTCAGTTTCACCCAAACACAAAGTAGCCTGGCCAGTGTGCTTATTTTTAGGATTTAGAGGACATTTAGCTACATGAGTATTAAGGGGAGTCGTACCATGACTTTTGGGATCCGCGGCTATGTCCTTCTCACAGTATTTGCAAATTGCATGACGAACTCCATTCACATGCTTTACATGAAAATGATCCCAAGCTTTGGACCTCTTCTTGTACTCTCCTCTTTTCTTGCCAAAACCAGATTCTTCACAGCTTTGTGTTGTAGGACTAGGAAGAAGACCTCTAGATGATCCTTCTTGTTCTAACTCATTGTGACTTGGATTACTCTCACCCTCATTAGTAGTAGACATACCTTAAGTTTTGCGAGAATCTGAGCAAATAAATTATACAATTTAGTGCAACAATCATTTAGCAATAAAATTGAAATAAAAGACTAGATGAAATTGAAGAACCAACTCAGGACAACATTCAATGAACGCTGAGAAAATCAACTAGAGACACAATGAGTGCTGTCTGGGAATGTTTTTACTAAGACCACAAAGTCCCACGCACAAACAAAAGCATTAGTAATTAATCTAACATCGAAATTCCAATTATATGATAAAGCTGCATAATTACAAGGTCACTCCCATACAAGCAACAGTATGCTCTTGACTCCTAGTCATTTAAGTGGGCATCAATCATCTTCATCCTAAGCAGCATTGCAATCGTAAGCAGTAACATCAGTTGCTACTGGTAAATTTGAAGCTTAATGATAGCCTAGAATAATGTTTACTTTTCTCCTTTCAGATAATCGAAGACAATGGGTATTGGAGTATGTATTCTAGTGGCCAGATAATTGGCACATGTGATAATCTGTACAAAAGACTTCCCACTAATGCCATGACAAAACAGAGGCCAAAACCTCAAAAAAAATATATGGAACAGATCTAAAGCTTTAAATGAAGAAATGAACCAATTTCGACATTGACTTGAGTTCAACAGTCTATCCATTTTGGCAATTCACACGAATAAAACGTCCACGGTCACTTAATACCAGGCAATGTTTCCATTAACAATAATACCTGACAGGACAAAAAATCCAGGAATCAACATTAGATGATTTGTAAATGCAAAGATTAAGAAGAAGAGAGGGAGAACCGGCTCAAGTTTGCTGCACTAGAAGAAGAATGAAACTGATCCAAGTTTGCTCAAGTTTGTACCGGCTCAACTACTCTTATCCAATTCAAAAACTCATAACTTTTATCAAGATTCAATCAGGAAGGAAATTGAGCATCAAACATCATACAAGTTCCACTGAAATTAAATTAGCCCATATAAAAAAACTAGCAAATTAAACAACGACATCCAGAATCAAATACCAAAAGAAAAAAAAAACACCAAATGAAAATCCAATTATTGAGTCTTTTTCATAAACCCATTTACCTGATAGGCTTATCCAAGGCTTCACTGGAATCAGCACTAGCGAACTGTGGTCCTGGACCTCCTGGTGATAGTGGATGCTCCGCTCGGTCAGCAATGGTGAAACCTCGGTCAGAATGGGAAACGGAGAAAGAGTGGACTGAGCAGAGGAGAGGAAAGGACAGAGGACTGACTGAGGAGAGGACTGAGCAGAATGAGGAGAGGAGAAGAAACGAGAGAAAGAGGGGAACTGAGGAAGATGGGACTGCGCCGCGGGCCGCGGCAGTGCAGAGGAGCGAGAGGAAGAGGGGACGAAGAGCGGAATTAGGGCACCACGTCTGAAAATCTGAAATTGGACCAATATGAATATCGGACATAATGAACTATTTCCTATGTAACTTAATTCGGGAATTTCGAAATTGAAAACGGTATATTATTACCGCTTTACCGAAATGAATTCGAATTCGGTATATCCGAATTCAAAAACTATAAAATCGTTTTCGAACCTAATTCGATTTCAACTTGTACTATATCCCCGATTTACCGACCGAATTACCGAATTACCAAATTCGATTTACCAAATTGAAATCGATTTCGGTCGGTAAATCGGTATTTACCGTAATTGCTCACCCCTATCCGGAGCTGTTCCCGAAGTCGAGTAGACCATGTAGTCTTGGAGGTTGCCAAACGGGCCCAATTTTTACCCTTTTTACCTTCCTGTCGAAAAACCCAAATCTTAATTTGGCTCAAAATTTTTGTTCTCTCTCTTAAGCCCAACTCAGATTCCGTACTGATCCAAGTAGGTGAAAGCTCTCGGACTAGGGATATAAATTAATCAATCTACTTGACTCGAACTCGTAAGTAGTTCACTCAAAGATTTTCAGCGTTAATTAAGTATGAGTTGAGTGCAAGTTACTTGATAAGATCATCCACTTGAGTTTGAGTAGAAAAAAATCAATATCCAAATATTCGTCTAGCGTTACTGAATAGTGTATTTATAATATGATTTTTATTTATTTATTATAAAATTATAAATTTTACTTAAAAGAAACTACGCTTAAAATTTGATTGAACTCGATTTG